ATAATGTTTAGAGAATTCAAAAAAGATATAATAGAGACATATGAGATGAGTGATTTTGGCTTGCTGTATTATTTTTTGGGTATAGAAGTATGCCAAGGTGATACAGACATCTTTATATCACAGGAAAAATATGCAAAAAATATTTGAAGAAATTTAATATGCAAGATTGCAAATCAGTTACAACTTCCCTAATGGCCAATGAAAAGCTTAAAAAAGACGATGGAGCAAAGAGGGTAGATGAAACCACCTACAAGAGTTTAGTTGGAAGTTTGTTACGTCTGACTGCAACACGACCAGACATCATGTTTGCTGCTAGCCTATTATCAAGATTCATGAACAACCCAAGTAAACTAAACTTCACAGCTGTAAAGAGAGTGCTCAAATATATTAAAGGTACAATAAATTATGACATATGGTCTGGACCAGTAGAAAACTCAAAATTAATCGGCTATATAGATAGTGATTGGACCAGATGTGCTGATGACATGAAAAGTACATCAGGATATGTTGTTTCACTCAGATCTGGTCTTTGTTTATGGTCATCAAAGAAGCTGAGTGTAGTGACGTTATCATCAGTTGAAGCTGAGCACATAGCTCGTGCTGTCACATAAGCAGTTTGGTTAAAACATATTTTAGACATTATTAGTGAGAAGCAAGAAAAACCAACAACAATATTCTGTGACAATAAGTTAGCAATTGCAATTAGTGAGAATCCAGTTCGCAATGACAGAACCAAATATATTACTATCAAGTATCATTATATTTGAGAAGCAGTTGAGCACCAAGAGGTACAACTCAAATTTTGTAGTTGGCTGATATCTTCACAAAAACGTAGACCAAAGAAAAGTTCATACACAATCAGAATCTGATCGATATGTTAAAGAAAATAAATTAAAGGGGGAGATTATTAGAATTAATTTCTTTAATTAAATTATTAGTTACAAAAAATTATAAATTAACGGTTATGAAAAAATTAAAATAAAATAATAAAAAATTAAATAGTAGAATTTAATAGTAATTAAATAAAATAAATGGGCAGTTACCGATAGAAAAATTAATAGAAAATTTTTGTTGTCTATATATAAACTATGTATTGTTTTGTAATAGCATCCCATTCAGATTAAATATAATATATTTTTTCTTTTCAATATATCTCTATAATTATTTTAAATTTTATATTTTCGCATCAGTAACAACCTCTTATCTTCAGTTTATTTCCAACACAACCTTCCACTTCATGAAGTAGATTGGTTACCATACACAACACCCTTGGAATTGAGCAACCCATCATTGAAGTTCCACAAGATGCTGACAATATTTTGATAGATCAAATTATTCAAGAGACACTAGAAAACTCTGAACAACCAGTTGAAGAACAACATAATTCTCAAGAACCTATTGTTGCAACATTAAGGAGATTTACTAGATAGAGAAAGTTAGTAATTTCTAGTGATTATGTTGTATATCTACAAGAATTTAACTATAATATTGGAGCAGAAAATGATCCTGAGTCATTTTCACAAGCCATGAGTTGTAGAGAGTCAATTATAAATGGTTTAATACCATGAAA